ATAACTGCAATGCAATGCCCCACTTACTGAGCTCATCCAGTCCCCTTTGTTAACTATGATGTTTTTTTATTGCCAACTTTCTTGTTCTGTAAAAGTAGAGCTGATTAAAAGAAATGGCAGGGAAGATGGGTATAATCTCTAATGACTTACTTTACTTATTTACAGCTTACCTACCTCAGTGAAATTATAAATCAAGCTGCATAATTAAACACAAAAAATGGAATAAACCAACCAATAACAAAATATGACCACCAATGACTACCCACTTTTAATTTGTCGGTAAGGACAGTATCTTCCTAAGATTAATCCTGGTTCAAGATTTGCTCAATTTTTGTTTTGTTTTATTTTTCCTCTCTGAAAATCACAGAAGAGTTTTCGAGATAAGTTTTGAGTTTATAGTTAAGAAAGAATGAGTACATGCTCCCTGGCACGCCTTCTCTGAACCTAAACAGAACCCTTTACCTCGCCCATGGAACACTGTTTAGTAAACAGGGACTGTACAAGCCCAGGGTGGCGTCTATCTTCCAGTCCTGCCGTCTTTTTAAAAACAAGGCAGGGGTTCTGTTTGCGGTGCACACTTGGTTCAGTGTTAATCCTGTTTTATGTTGTTCACACCTGCTGCTGACCAGCAGCCTGCTGATGGGCTAGGGCTCACGCTGCTCCCAGGAATCTCACTCACTGAGAAGCCGGACAAAAGCGACTGCACAGAGCTGGAGACAAAGCCTGACCAAGGTCCAGGACACGAGAGAAGCAAGCAGACCCTGTAAGATCTTCCCCTCATTCGCAAATAAGGCTTCTCCACAATGTCACAAGTTAGCCACCTCTAAAAAGGTAATCGATGGCTACTTAAAAAAAAGAGAGAGAGAGAGAGACTGAACCTCATTTCAGTTATTTATATTTTTGAGCTTTTTATGTCTTTGGGTAATACTGATACAAATATATGTACAATAAAAAAAAATTAATCTAATGAGGTGTACATGCAAGTCATTACTTTGAATCCTTACCAAAAGCATCTGTACTTAAAACAATGATTAATTTAAAATAATCTGGCTCATCTCTCTTTTCATACAATTTTACATCTCAAACAAACAGACTATATATATGTATATGTACACACACACATATACATACATGTATATTTGGGCATATTTATATAATATGTATGTATACAAACACACCATGCAGCCAGGACAGTGACACTGGATGCCAAGACTACTCTCCCCCCGCCCCGCCCCCTTGCACTGCATGTGCCTAATAGCAAACATCAAAAGGAATGATTTCTTTTTTGATCTTAGTACCAGCGATAAATCAAATTCAGTGCCACAGACAGGGGGGAAATGCACTACTAAGGGGAAACTCCAAGACTGACAGTGGGACCAGTCAGAGGCATTCATTCAATCAAGTTTCAGTAAATGACGCCCACCCTTCTTCTTCCCAAACAAGATGTAAGCTGTCATGTGCTTACCCAGAGCGAGAAAAACTTACCCAGTCCTGATGTGACCCTAAGTCAAGATGTACTTTGTGCTGACACTTCCAGCGGCAGCATCAGAGCCCCTCCCCTCCTACCCACAGACAGAGCTAATTTCCCTCCTATCTGGGAGCTGGCTTCTGCCTGCAGATGGACACAGAAAGCGTCTACTGGCCAGCACCGGACAGCTCGAATAGGAGCTGCATGTCTGAGGGGCACGGGGTATAAAGGTGTTTCTGGGATCATTTTATTACATCTCTGGAAGCAGCTTTCCTGCCTGCAACAGCCAGCAAAGCATCGCAGACCCCACTGCCAGCTCGGGAAGTTCTGCACCAGCCTGCTCCACTGGGGTGCACGGGTTTAATGGAGCACAGTTTTAATACTTCTCTGGGGGAAGCACAAAATCACTTAACTACCATGTTAAGCTTCTCTTAACGAATGAGGTGAGGATGAAATATTTGAGGTGCCGGCATCTTTTTCCCAATTTGTTTTCAAACTATGTACTCTTAGCAATGGGCTCCTTTGGGGAGGGGTCTGATCTGATCTGATGAGGCTACTCTCCTGTTTGTGACGTGGTCTTCCTCAGCAGATGAAAAGTGTTCACAGAATCTCAGAAACAGCTTAGCAACCACAAGAGACAGACCAGATAAATGCTCACATTTCAGTGTGTAGAATACTTTATACTTGGCAACTCTCTAATGGTGTTAAAGACAAAAAAACAGTTGCTAAAAAAATGATATTATAATATACTTGCCATAATTGTAGATTGGAATCACGCAGCTCCCATACTCCGATACAGCCCATCAGAAAATAAAACACTTGTCACTTTCAATTTGGTTATGGAATGTGAGCGGTATAGAAATAAACTCAATTGTGGTGTTGAATCATACAAAATTACTGATATATTTGACCATGTTTAACCTATACGAATGACAACTTCATACAGTTCATTCCAACGTATTTAGAATCCTGTTACCTAACTTGCATTCAAAGAACCTAATGTTTGTCAAGGAATATCATGGTTCCAAATTAGACTTTCCTATTATCTTTCAGAAAGCCACCTCTAGTTTGAGATTTTTTTTAAAAAAATTAGTATCAAAATGAGAGCTTACTTAAGTATATTTTAAGGCTTGAACCTATGATGGCCTCAGGCACAACAGTCTCCCTGGTAGTTAAAATTTCCTTTGAGACCAAGTTTTGTACATGGAAGAACATTTGTGAGCTCAACAGACTATTGATCACAATGCTCACCATTTAGAGGGGCCACTTAGCAGTGCAGAGAACAGGAGAGCCAACCCCCCATTCCAGTGCCAAGGGGGCACAGTGATGGATTGTGACAGAAAATCCCATCCTTGAGGTCCTTGACCAGAGAACTTGAAACACAGATTTTTTTTTTCCCCCAGCGACTTTGTTAAGTTTACTCCGGACAAAATTATTTCACTGTAGCAGCAGTAGTAGTGGCTTTTCGATCAAATGATATTTAGTGTTTTGCATGTAGTATTGGTGACATGATGAATACCTTCAGATAAGAAAGGAAAAAAAAATAAGCTCTGTTCTCCATCAAGGCTCTGTACCTGCTGCGTGCCTTCCAGCCTTGCTCCTAAGCTTGCCCACTTCGAAAGAAAGTCAAGACCACCTCATTTTGATTATAGTGCTTTCCTGGGGCAGGAATTTTTATTTCAGTTTGAATCTTAAACCATCACATTTCCAGTGATGCATTTTTATGTTTACAATTGACATCTTCATAAAAGAATGAAACCTTTGAGCAACAGCTCAAAAGCATGAAGGTTGCCTGAAGTAAGTACTTAAATGATTTTACACCTAAATGGAGCCCAGTTGTTTTTAGTTAAAATTTAATAAACCTTAAACTGATGACCTTTCTTCCACAGAAAGGTCCCGAGTTGCAAAAACCGAACTTTCCAATGAAATATATTTTAAGGAACTAGTGCTGAACAAAGGGCTATTTAAAGCTGAACGCTTTGTCAATTTATCAGCTTGTGAACATTCTGTTCCTGAATCCCCCACTGCTGCTGAATGTATAGAACGCTGGTGCCTTGCTTAATCGAATACTATTGATTCGAGTGTGTCAGAGTGATCTCATTGAGAGTAATCAATAGTAATCCAAAATCAATCAATCTGCTCTTGCACTATCATTTATCAAATCTGAATACGCCAAATTATTTGGAGGCATCAAATTACAAAGAGGAGAATATGGGAGAACTGGGAAAGTTAATGGTTTATATTGAAGAACAAAACCAATAGCTCTTTTTTTAAGGGGAGGTACTTTCAAATGGACTATTACTCAGACAAATACATTTATCTTCTCATTAAAGTATCCTAAATTTATAATTAATCTCATTCTATTCTTGATTTTTTTTTTTTAAAAAAAAAGGTTTCTCCTATAAAAGTTTGCTGGGTCAGCACAACTGACACAAACTCACAGATGCTCTAACTGCTTTCACCAGAACACAGCAGCGTTTTACAAGTCTGATAAGGTAAGTTTCAAATGCCTGTTACGGATCGGCTAGGAAAACAAGGAGACTCGACTGACACAGGACATAACTGCATCTTCTAACATCAGAAATGATGTTTAATAGAATTGGAGAGGAGAAAGGAATACGTAATTTCTCCAGTGAATGTACAGCATAGATGCATCTGCTTATCAAGGAAGCTGCTGTTGATGCTGCAGGTGCCTTTATCAACATATTCACCTGCAATTTAGTCAAGGTAATAAATCCTTCTATTCATTACAGCACTCTCAAAAGCACCCCTCCTGTATAACTTGAATGAGAAAAGGCACAGAGTGTCTAAAACATTTACTTTTGCTAATGTAAAAGTGTTGGCATTTTACTTCATTTCCGATAAGCTGGTGCCAGTAGAAGTGATTATTCTTTTCTTATTCAAAGCCTATCAGCATTTGGAAAAGCTCTCTCAATCTTATCAGGTGTATGAACAGCGCAGTTACTGAAAACAGTTTGTACTGCTCCTCTCTCTTTCTGCCAAGCTATCTGATAAACCCCCAACTAACTAACTGTATTTACACACAATCAAACATAAGTCATATCTTCTGCGCACTCTAGCCAGACTCCAGTTTGCCATAGGTTTTTCTGCGGTGACATTAACTTAAAAATGTCAACGGTGAGTATCCGAAACTGACAACAATCAAGAAAACCCTATAAAAGCACTCAACTAGAATGCACAACAAACAGACACAGAAGAAAAACAAATACAAGAAGTTGAAGGCAATCTCTTCAGAATTCAGAGGGAAAATGAAGTGGACTGTGTATACAAATATGAATGACTACCATGCACTTACCTTGCACCAAAGTAAACGATCCTTTAGCAAAACAGATGAACAGAAACAGAAATTTAAAAAGAAAATACTGAGAAGACTGCAGAGGGGAAGGTACTCAGGAAAATGTTTTAGAGCTGAGCAGGCATTGCCCTTACATTGTGGGTTATCTCAGAGTGGAAGCAGAGAGGTTCTATAACGCAAGCAAGACAAGACAATAGACAAGATCACCGAACTTACCCCAGAAACTGAAGACAAGATAGAAAGCAAGGCTGTCACATATGGTGACCACATTCTCAGGATAGATTTTCCAATCATTAAAACCCTCATAAATGCTCTAGACATTAAAGTTTTGTTCACTATAAGGAAATAAAGAAATAAAAAAGATACAATTTGAGTTTTTAACCTCATATTATTTTTCTTATTCTTCAGACTTAACCAACTAGTTGCATAGCTCAATATAAAGGTATGAAAAAAGAATCATCATGCAGATTAAGGTTAAATAGATGATCTGTTCTTCCATTTCTATCTATTAAAATATTCTTAAACTAGTTCATGGTTCATACGAATTGACAGAAACACCTAGTCACTTATGGGGTCACACTTGGGAGCATGAAAGACACGGATGACATTTCTAGAACACAAGAGAAATCTGAAATTTACTCAAACAACTGAATGAAAAGCAAATTCCTGACCCTAAGAATCTCTGTGGGAGCTTCTGTGCATACATTATCCATTTTTTTCTCACCTCCCTTTGCTGAATAACTAGGAGAGAACAGAAAAAGGCGGCCACAGGCTCCCACCTGAGCCCAACTCCTGATGCTGTCTAGACTCCAAGAACAGAATGAGCCTTCCTTTAGATGTGTAGTGCAACGAGATGAATTAGCCAAGTGTGTAGTTCAGTACAATTCAGCTGATGGCTGCTTTTCCATCTGTGACACTATGAGCTCATGACTGATGAGGCAGGTCTCATTCACGTCTATGGATTAAAGGGATGCTTCTGTCATTTCACAGGACCCAGCACCAACTGTATACAGCCATTTTCTCATAGGAGGAAGACATGGTTCCCACCAACCATGTACACCTTTCCTCTTCTTTGGCCATGAGCAGCTGGTTACAAGTATAATAGTCTCCTCAAAATACATGATCTGTTTTAACAGATTAATGGCTATAAAGAAAGCATTGTCAGAATATTTTACCATTTATGGACAAATGAACACAATTTAACATGGCCATATTATATTTTTGGAGAACTACTACAATAATTTAGAATTATGGAGGGCAAAGGGTAATTGATTGAATAACCCAGTTAAATTTTTTTTCTTTTAAATGACTACATCAGTCTATGTTCATATGATCTGATATTTCCATGAGCTTTGAATGCAATTTTAGTTATATGACTAATGTGCTTTTATTACTCTTTGGAAGGCAAAATAAAGTGCTGCAAATATTGTCACATTTTAACTGCCTTGCAAAGTGTACCTTTTAAAACAATTTTAACTTACTCTGTGATAATGACAAGGCGAGGAAATAATTTATTTAACAAGTCCTTTGTTTAAATTCTCAAAAGCCACTAAGACAAGTAAAATCTTTTGAGAATAGATGAAAAAGGAATTATCATTTATAAGGATACCATTCAGATCATAGAGGGGGAAAAAAAGATTTCGGTGTACTTAGCCTATTATCTGTGTAGAAGTTCTTGACTGACTTTTTGAAATTTCATTTGTTTGCATATTGAATTAGCCATCCAAAAAGAAATCACACGATTTTTTTTCTTTTCCAGGAAACGTTTGAAAAGTCAAAAAAAAAAAA